CGAGGGCGATTCACAGCCTCCAAGAGTGCCTCTGACTTCTATCTCCAAATCAGTGACCTGAATGCAGAAGACACGGCCGTGTATTATTGTGCAGCAGGCACAGTGAGAAGCATCTTAGCAGACCCCAGACAAAAACTCTGGACTGCAGCTGCTTTGGAGGGAAGCCCTCTGAGTGGCGCCAGTGAGTCATAAATACCGTGATTTCTTCAAGTTGTATTCCTCCTTAGCTTCTCGGTTCCATTAACAAAACATGAAATAGAAAAGTATTTTTTAATACTTTTGAGAAGTCAGAGGCAGAAAGCAAAAAAGCGAACTGTGCAAACTTCTGTATGCCCCTCAGTGCTTAAATCTCTCTCTCAGTGATTTAGAATTTAATGACACAGGATACAAGTCCCCCCCATGGGTATTTAATTTAACAGTCACAAAAGGATGGAAGGCTGAGTCCACCTTGAGCTGGGTATCCAAGCAACCTGGGATCAAACTCAGCTCGTGAGCACAGTCTTCACTGCAGTACTGCAGTTTAACCTCATTGCCATGAGGCTCATCATTTCATCTTCCAAAAAATCATCCTTACACTTTATAAAGTGTCTTATAAGCATACATGCACTCATATACACAGATCTTCATCTCTGACCAAACAAGATATTCCTGCACAGAGGGATACAGACTCTGTAACCCACTGGAACTTACTCAAGGGCTAGTGGGTCAAAGCACAAGTCAGAGGATTATGGGCCCTTTGAACCTTTTCAGGAGAGGCTGCTACCTGGTAACCTTTGCTTTATAAAAGACCTGAACCCCTATTGATGCTGACTCCTCCTCGGCTGCTTAATTTATGCAAAACCAGCTGCAATTTCGCTTCCCATTTATTCCCTCAAATCATACCCAGACTCCCAAATAAAACACTCACAGGGTCCTTTTCAAAGCTAGCTTGCTCTTACATGATGTCGCCTTTGTGGTCCATCCTCCTCGTGCTGGCAGCCTCCTCCTCATGTCTGTTGATTGCATTTATATATTTCCTTGTCTGTTTACATTAATTAACACTAAGTAACAGCTTTCTTTTTGCCTTTTGATCTCACCCTCTTCTTCTTTTTCTTTTCTTTCCAGGTGCCCGCTCGCAAGTGGCTCTGACTCAGGAAGGTCCGGTTGTGAAAAAACCCGGAGAATCCCATAAACTCACCTGTGCCACCAGTGGGTTTACTCTGAGGAGCACAAATATGTACTGGATCAGACAGAAACCTGGCAAGGGATTAGAATGGCTTGTGTACTATTACAGTGATGAGGACAATGCTTATTCCCCTGCCATCCGAGGGCGATTCACGGCCTCCAAGGGGGCCTCTGACTTCTATCTCCAAATGAATGACCTGAATGCAGAAGACACGGCCGTGTATTATTGTGCAGCAGGCACACACATTGCTAAAAGACACTCACAGTTCTTTTCAAAGCTAGTTTGCTGTTCCATTATGTCGCCTTTTGGGTCCATAATCCTCGTGCTGGCAACCTTCTCCTCATGTGTGTTGGTTTTTATGTTTACTTCATTAATTTCATTAATTGCCTCTAAATTTCAGGGTTTTTTAATTGCCTTTTCACCACAATCCTTGCTTGCCTTCCTTCTCTCAAAAGGTGCCCGCTCCCAAGTGGTTCTGACTCAGGAAGGTCCGGTTGTGAAAAAACCTGGAGAATCCCATAAACTCACATGTGCCACCAGTGGGTTTACTCTGAGTAGCACATGGATGCAGTGGATCCGACAGAAACCTGGCAAAGGATTGGAATGGTTGGTGGAGTATTACAGCGCTGGGAGCAATTATTATTCCCCTGCCATCCGAGGGCGATTCACGGCTTCCAAGGGGGCCTCTGACTTCTATCTCCAAATGAATGACCTGAAAGCAGAAGACACGGCCGTGTATTACTGTGCAAGGAGGCACAGTGAGAAACCTCTTAGCAGACCTCAGACAAAAACTCCGGACTGCAGCCGCTTTGGAGGGAAGTCCTCTGAGTGGCGCCAGTGAGTCATAAACCGTAAAGCCACATGACAAAGGAGATTCACCAATTAAAACATTATACAGGAAAAGAGTACTGACTCTTTTGATTATGAGCCATGAACGGCTGCTACTAACCCTTAGCCGAGGTCCATTACATTCGGGTTAGCTTCATCTCTTTCTAAGTAAAGTACAGTTGAGCCAAGCCATGCTCCACACGCCCCGGCCGTAGGGTTTACTACAATCCCTCCATTCAGTGAGTTCAGCAAAACATTTTGAGGGAAGCCAAGGTGCATATAGAAGGCACCGGATAGGAGGAAGGTTCCCTTTACACAGTTGTTACAAACCTTGGGTCCCCAGATGTGCTTCGGTATACATTCCCAGAAGCCTTCATCATCAGCTGTGAGGACCAGGATTTCTCTCTGTAGTTCAAGAACATCTGGGGAGCACTGACAGATTGGGGCCACCCATTTGCTTCCAGTCACAGCTGGAACCCCATGCATACAGGGCAAGGCCTTCAGCTAGCCCCTGTTGGGGTCCCGAGGCTGGGAACCACTGCTTCAGTTAGACCCCTAAAGGGAAGAAATGAAGCCTTTCTCAGTGTCCCCTCCCCCTGGGGGCAGAAGTCAATCTTTCGAAGAAGCATAACTGAAATAGAAGTGGAAGACATACTGTCAGGCCTGGACACCCCGAGACCTTTACAACATGCTTGTATACCAAAGCAAACTGGTCCCCTCCCAAAGCACTTTCAAGAGGGAGGGAAACTTTTTTATACATTTCCCCCACTACACAACACTCCCATGCTAATATCATTTTTTTGAAATTAAATTATAAACCATCAATGGTAATGGGAGGTCCTTCCGAGATTGTATTGCACAACAGCTGCTCCTGAGAAAGTTGCCAGCCTTATGTGGATTTGAGCTTTTTTTTGATACACGCTCCTGCCATGAATCCCCACTTGGAAGACCAGACATAATAATCACACCTAAAGAGGGATGTCATACGGATTGTGGAGGAGCTGGCTCAATTCCCTAGCTTGTGACACTAGGGAACTCACAACTAGAGTAAGGCCACTGAAATCAGGGGAACAGATGGGGGAGTTCACTCACCAAATCCCCCTGAACCAAGGCGACCTATTCTATTTGAGAATCCCTATCTGACCGCCGAAGAATTGATGCCTTTGAATTGTGGTGCTGGAGGAGACTCTTGAGAGTCCCCTGGACTGCAAGGAGAACAAACCTATCAATTCTAAAGGAAATCAACAATGAGTGCTCACTGGAAGGACAGATCCTGAAGCTGAGGCTCCAGTACTTTGGCCATCTCATGAGAAGAGAGGACTCCCTGGAAAAGACCTTAATGTTGGGAAAGTGTGAAGGCAAAAGGAGAAGGGGACAACAGAGGATGAGATGGTTGGACAGGGTCACCGAAGCAACCAACATGAATCTGACACAACTCCGGGAGGCAGTGGAAGATAGGAGGGCCTGGCGTGCTCTGGTCCATGGGGTCACGAAGAGTCGGACACGACTAAACGACTAAACGAACGAACGAACGAATGGTAAGGAACAGGAATTCAGCCCATAATTTCATTTCCTGCCCAACGACAGGGCCAGTCCTGAGCACAGTTAGATGTTTCTGGCTCAGTCATTTCATTCTCTGGATCTGTGGCTTGTAGGAATTCTCCCAAAATGGAACCATTTGTGTTGACACGGCTGTGTATCCCTGTGAGAAACAGTCCTTCCAGATCTCAGACAAAAACCTCTGTACTGCAAGGCCTTTGGTGGGAAGTCCTAGTGAGAGGCACCAGGAAGCCGTAAATCACAAACACCAACTGACAGACCGGATATACCAAAGAAAACCTTGTACAGGAAAGCAGGACCAAGACGTTCTTGTTAGTACAAGCAGGTGGTTATCTTTAGCCTAAGCCTATCACGTTGGAAGCTGCTTCATCCCCTTCTAATACAGTTATTGATTTTGTTATGTCCCATCAAGGAACTTCTGACTTATCTTGACCCTTTCAACGAGCGATCTCCGAAAGCTTCTGCTCTCAACAGCCCTTGTCAACTCTTGAATATTCCACCTTGTGGCTTCCTTTAAGAAGGTCCACCCATCTCATATTTGGTCTTAGAGGCAGGGGTTTGGCAATTCTGTTGAAACAGGTCCAGTGGCGTTTCTTTTATATTCTTACAAGAATGAAACCAGAGAATCCTTGGCCGGCATTTCAAAATTGACCCAAGGATCCTCAGCGGAAGAATTTTTGTTGTTGTAATAATTACAATGAAGTCAGCACCATGACTTCAAATTTTATCCCTCCTTAGCTCCTAGGTTCCATTAACAAACTGTGAAATATAAAAGTGTTTTTTAAAACTTTCACTTTTCAGAGGTCAGAGGCAGAAAGCAAAAAAGCAAAGTGTTCAAACTTATGTATGCCCCTCAGTACTAAAATCTCTCTCTCTTTCAGCTATTTAGAATTCAATGATGCAGGCTACACATTGCCCCCCCCCCCTCCCGCGTCTTCCCTTTACTAGCCACAAAAGGATGAAAGGCTGAGTCCACCTTGAGTTCGGTACCCAAGCGGCCTGGGATCAAACTCAGCTCGTGAGCACAGTCTTTACTGAAGTACTGCAGTTTAACCTCGGTGCCATGAGGCACATCATTTATCGTCCAAAAAAATCGTCCTTATACTTTATAAACTCCATTATAACCATACATGCCCTCATATACACAGATCTTCATCTCTGACCAAACAAGGTATTCCAGCACAGAGGGATACCAACTCTGTAACCCACTGGAAGTTACTCAAGCACCAATAACTCAAGGCCCAAATCGCAGGATTATGGCCCCTTGACCCCTTTCAGGAGAGGCTGCTCCCTGGAAACCTTTGCTTTATAAAAGACTTGAGCCCCTATTGAGGCTGACTCCTCCTCGGCTGCTTAATTTATGCAAAACCAAATGCAATTTCATTTCCCATTTATTCCCTCAAATCATATCCAGACATCCAAGTAAAACACTCACAGGGTGCTTTTCAAAGCTAGCTTGCTCTTACATGATGTCGCCTTTGTGGTCCATCCTCCTCGTGCTGGCAGCCTCCTCCTCATGTCTGTTGATTGCATTTATATATTTCCTTGTCTGTTTACATTAATTAACACTAAGTAACAGCTTTCTTTTTGCCTTTTGATCTCACCCTCTTCTTCTTTTTCTTTTCTTTCCAGGTGCCCGCTCGCAAGTGGCTCTGACTCAGGAAGGTCCGGTTGTGAAAAAGCCCGGAGAATCCCATAAACTCACCTGTGCCACCAGTGGGTTTACTCTGAGGAGCACAAATATGTACTGGATCAGACAGAAACCTGGCAAGGGATTAGAATGGCTTGTGTACTATTACAGTGATGAGGACAATGCTTATTCCCCTGCCATCCGAGGGCGATTCACGGCCTCCAAGGGGGCCTCTGACTTCTATCTCCAAATGAATGACCTGAATGCAAAAGACACGGCCGTGTATTATTGTGCAGCAGGCACAGTGAGAAACATCTTAGCAGACCTCAGACAAAAACTCTGGACTGCAGCCGCTTTGGAGGGAAGTCCTCTGAGTGGCACCAGTGAGCCATAAACCATAAACCAATCTGACAGACAATATACACCAAGGGAAATATTGTTGAGGAAAACATTTAGCAGTGAACAGCTCCTAATCTTTAGCCTAGGTCCATTTCATCGAGAGCTGCTTCATCTCCTTCTAGTGGAGTTATCGTAGTAATTATGGGCCGTCAAGTCACCTTCAACTCATGATCGAACAGTTTCCAAAATGCTCTGCCCTCCACAGCCCTGGTCAACTCTTGAAAATTCCAGCCTTTGGCTTCCTTTAGGGAGTCCCTACATCATAGAAGCTTAGCTTGTTTGATTTTTCACATCCAAACCTATTTGCAACATGGTGGTTATCTATTGTGAATTATAAAGAATTGTATCTCTTGTGTATTGTCACTCTCAAGAAGCACCTTTTTAATCTTCTAAAACTGCTGCCATTTTTCAGCTACATCTTCTGTCTGTCACACCCTGGATAATTGACCTCTGTGACTTAAGCCCAAGCAAGCAGTTGGAGATACAGGGACTGCCTGCTGAAGCATCATCTTTGGTTATCTGGAAGTTGGGTCATGGCAACTGGACTTCTTTCTTATTAGGTTGACATGTTTCATGACTCTTCTAAATAGCTTCTTCAGTCTTAGATGAGTTGGGAAACATTTCAGCCTAATAAGAAAGAAGTCCAGTTGCCATGACTCAGCTTCCAAATAACCTCACCTGGATGACTGAGAACATATATCAACTTTGGTTCATCACACATCAGGAGGACTGCCAGTGTCCACTGAAGGAGACATTTGGGTAGGTCAAGAACTTAGTAAGGGATACAGTGGTGCCCCGCATAGCGACATTAATCCGTTCCGGATTAATCGTTGCTATGTGGAATCGTCGCTAAACGGATCGAAAAACCCCATAGAAATGCATTAAACTTAGTTTAATGTGTTCCTATGGGGCCCTAAACTCACCGTTCAGCAAAGATTCTCCATCTGGCCACCATTTTCGCGCCCTCGGTAAGCGAGGGCAGGGCGCGAAAACAATGCAGGCGGCCATTTTGGGTGCGCGGCGGCCATTTTGGAACCGCCGATCAGCTGTTGAAAAAACATCGCAATGCGAAGATCGGTAAGCGAAACGCTTACCGATCGTCGCAATGCGATGTTTAGCCTATCTAAACATCGCAATGCGATCGTTTTTGCGATCGCAAATACGACATCGCTATACGGATTTGTCGTTAAACGGTGCGCTCGTTAAGCAAGGCACCACTGTATTGTCATCCCACATTGCAGGAGCTCTGGTCACAAGCAACCTTTAGAAGACGCATGCCAGCGATAGATCATAATGGACCATATAAGATCTGGTATCAGAAGGGGTGGGTTACTGATCTTTATTTTTTACAGAAAAATACATCAGCTCATATTTTCCAGGCGCAAATACAAAACCCTGGCAAACAGGGAATAAAGTTACGCTATACAGTATATAAATATGTTTAATAGTTCTTGTAAATGATTGTCGGTCTGTAAAGGAAAGGAGAAAGGGTGTTGGGGAGAGGTGTAGGAAAGGAAACCATGAGTTCTTCTCTGTTTTAGATTTTCCTTTAAAGTTAGTAAAGTTAATCTCATATTTGAAGCGGAGTTTAACAAGCTCCCTGAAGTATTTTCTTGTGAGAATGTCCCTACTATTTTTCACACCCAGCCCATACGATGTTCAAATCCTTCCACGCTTCCTCTTCATTAGTTGTTCCCTGTTGTTCATCTCTGGCCTCAGTAAAATAATATAGCATTTTGGGGAAAAGATGCTACACAGCAGCCCAGCACCAGAGGCTAAGATGGAGAAGATCTCTACAGCTACCATGTATTTCCCTTTGGTGCTAAAATAGGATGGGACAAATGATAACCAAACACTGCAAAAAATCAACATGCTGAAGGTGATGAACTTGGATTCATTAAAAGCGTCAGGCAACTTCCTGGCTAGGAAAGCCACCAGGAAGCTGATGATGGACAGAAGTCCAATGTATCCAAGAACGAGACAAAACATGGTGACAGATCCTTCATTACACTGCAGAAGGATTTCTTCAGCAACTGAGTGCTTGTCTAACTCTGGGAATGGAGGAGAGGTTCCCAGCCAGAGAGCACAGATCCCCACTTGAAGAAGAGAGCAAGAAAGGACAATGATAGTGGCTACTCTTTTCCCTGTCCATTTCCTCATCCTGGACCCTGGCTTGATGGCCATGAAAGCCATAACCACAGTAATCGTTTTGGCCAACACGCAAGAAAGGGTGACAGAGAAAATAATTCCAAAAGCAACTTGCCGGAGAAGACATGCCACTTTTCCAGGTTTTTTAACGAATAACAAGGAAGAGAGGAAACAGAACAGGAGGGTGATGAGAAGAACGTAGGTGAGCTTTCGGTTGTTGGCTTTGACGATGGGGCTATCTTTGTGCTTCACAAACGTTCCTAAGACAAAGGCCGTGAGGACGGACAGTGAAACAGCAACCAAGGCTAAGCTGATTCCTAAAGGTTCTTTGTGAGAGAAAAAGGTCACAGTTTTGGGGATACAACCGCTTTTGCTCTTGCTTGGATACTGGTCTTCTGGACATGTTGTGCAGTCATCCATATCTGCAAAAAAAAGAACAGCAGACTAAGTGCTGATACTCATCTGAATATTGAATTAGCATGGCGACCTTGGATACATGAACCCACTACTCACGCTGACTTCTGTCTGATGCTGTCAGCTATGTTGTTTGGTCTCATTTTGTGGAATTAATCTAAATTACTGAGGATTTTGCAAAACTAAACGACTAAACAACAAAATTTTGTGCCACCTTTCTGGAATAATTGGTGTGCCATGCAGGGCCTACCTTTCCCATTAGAAATCTTCCCTTCTGGACATGGAGAGCAATTGTAGCAGCAAAATTTCTCCCCTTCTTTTTTTCTCTTGTGAGAACCAGGTAGGCAGGGATCACTGCACAGAGAAAGCGGAGCCACCTGACCAAAAATGTGAACAGAAATGTTAAAACACAGAATTAAATGAGGGATGAAATCCTCACTTGTCTCTTTGCAAGAAATTTAAAAATCCCCTCAAGTGCAAACAGAGACCAATTATTTTTTGTTGGTCCTGAAGGTTGTCTTCACCTTTGTGAGAGTGTGGTTTTTGCACCAGTTTATTTATTTATTTTATTCATTCACACATTTTTACCCCACCTTTTCTCCTTAAGAAGGTCCCAAGGTAGTTTACCTCATTCAAGGCAACATTTAGAAGCCCAAAACTGTAAATATACAAATATTGTAAAGAACGAAACAAATGCCACATTAAAAAACAGTAAACAAAATCAACACCAAAAAGACATTCAAAGCAACAAGGCACAATCCTTCATTTTAAAAATCCTCTCAGACAAGACAGCCACTAAAGGAAAGCCTGCATGAAGAGAAAGAATTTTGTCTGCTTGTGGAATAATGCAAACAGCACAAATTGCACAAAAACAGCAATAGCTTGCTTTTGTTTCATGGACTTTTAAGAACGAGAGGTTTAGGGCTGGTTACTCTCATCTTTTCTAGCAGTGATCCAGAATGAGCGTTTGTCCGAAGACAATCTTCCCTGGTCACATGGCCAGCGCGACTAGACACAGAACGCTGTTACCTTCCCACCGAGGTGGTCCCTATTTATCTACTTGCATTTGCATGCTTTTGAACCGCTAGGTTGGCGGGAGCTGGGACAAGCGACAGGAGCTCATTCCATCACGTGGATTCGATCTTACGACTGCTGGTCTTCTGACCTTGCAGCACAGAGGCTTCTGTGGTTTAACTCGCAGCGCCACCACGTCCATTTCTCTTATTAGCCGGGACTAATAATTGAGCTTAAAAATTCCTTATCAGTGTGGCAGGACAGAACCCAAATCAACCAGCAATTTGACAAGTGTTTTTCGCATCCTTATCTAGTGTCTCAGGAAAACATCACTAGTTTTTTAATATGCCGGCTAGTCTTGACTTTATTATGGATTTAGAGGGAAACTACATTGCAGCTAACTCATCAGACGTGGAATCGGATCAGTTTTCTGGGGATGCAAACTAAGCCAACTTTTGTGCCTGAGAAATCTGACTTGCAAATGAAGAACATGATTAGCTCCCGACAATCAAGGGCTGAGTTGAGAACTAAGGAAAACTGTGTTGACGATCACGCGCTTTCAACACTTCAGGAATTTCCCCGTCCAGATCACCAGTGCTCATGGAGATTTAATTCAGTTCAGGCATTTTGACAATCAAGGGCTGATTTGTGAACTGAGGAAAACTGTGTTGACGATCACGCACTTTCAACACTTGAGGAATTTCCCTGTCCAAAACTGGTTATCACTAAAGTGCAGTTGAGGTTATCATGAGTAAAGTATTATTTCTAACCCCCAGATCACCAGTCCTCATGGAGATTTAATTCAGTTCAGGCATTCAGCTTTTTCATATAAACTCTAAATCTAGAAGGGATCTTGAGGTGGGCATGAAATGTCCACCCTGAACACCCGTTCTCCGTCCATCCAACCCTCAGTCTTCCTGTGTTGAGGGGGTGTTTTTAAGGAGGTTTACATTTGTGCTTGCTTGAGCAGAAGAAATAATAATATCTGGATCATTGAGTCCAGCCCCTGTCAATGAGGCACGGTGAGGAATGTCCAGCTATTGGCCAGGCATCTAAACCCCTAAGCTATCCTGCAGCAATGTCCAGCTATTGGCTAGGCATCTAAACCCCTAAGCTATCCTGCAGTTCATCTATTTTAACCACCGTGTAGCCTTTCAACAGGGTTGCCTCAAGTCTGTCTGGAACACAGGGCCTGACGCAACAGGATCGTTAAGCATGAGACTGAAACCCAGGACGTAGCAACAGCCTAGAAATAGCCTAGAAGCCATACCTGGTTAAAACGTCTGTGCCATAACATTTTATCCTCATGAATGATGAATTCTGTTCCTTCAAAGGATGAGTTTTTGGCCATCACCTTTCCAATATTTCTTTTTAGGAATGAGTTGTTGGCAAAGATAAATATGTTTGTAATATCAAACCCGGCAATTATTTCTCTGCCTCCATTAAAAGAGAGTTTTTCTCCAGCTGTGTTGTTAAAGGAAACGCCTTGAAGAAATCTATGCAGCTATTTGAAAGAGAATAGAACAAAATTACAAGCCAGAAGATAATATATTGGAATTCCCAAACTAAGATTTTACCGTTCAGGTGCCTCCCTCTTAGTATAACCATATAAGCAGTAGAAAGGAACACCTAGCTTACAAATGTGGATAATTTTTTTAAATTTAAAATGAGACCCTATAAATGTCTCTCAGTATAAATTAGTTACAATCTGTCTTCTTCATGCATGTTCATTTTCATTGCTATGCCATCTCAGATATTTCTTTGCAGAGACATTACCTGCCAAGGCTGGAGATCCTGTTGCAGCTCACCCTTCTTCGTTTTTCTGTGGCTGGATCTAGATGAGCCCAAGGCATGCAAAGCATGTGCCACTACATAGACAGCATTGTAGATGCTGTAACTGTGGCCAGTCATGTCAGTTTCAAAAATTAACCAAGGAAGGTGGTCCAACTTCTCCTGCCAGGTACAGATGTTATAGTCCTCCTTCGGCAGATTTGGGTTTGGAAAGTAGCAGTCAAACGCTTGCTCCCAGAAGTCTTTGAGAAAGCCATCACTTTGTGTCTGATCTGGGTTTAAGTTCTGAATATATTCCCGAAATCCCGGAGGCTGATTGGCATGAACTGTGAAGGAAATGGTGCCTTGGAATATTTCGAAATGCCAGTGCCTTGTAACACTCGTAATGGCAAAATGAACCTGGGCTGTCGTGACCCACACTCTTCCACCAAGTTTGTTTTGGATATATTCGTTTTCTGCTATGTTCATGAAAGCAGCCAGCCACATTAAAGTCAATGCTTCTCCATAGATGATAAATACACTGGCTCTGGTATGCATCCAATGTAGACGGCTGTTGAAGATCACACTGAGGACTTCCTTAAAAGCAGACATATCTATTTGGTTCGGGATCCTTTGTGTGAAAGCAGAACACATCTTATGGTGATGAAGCAGCTGCTCCAGAACTTCCAAAAAACGGTTTCCATTCTCATCATCCCCAGCAAAAAGCCCAACCCAAGTCCACCCAAAATGCTGAAATAACGAAATCATCCCTACATACTGATGGGCTTCATTCGGAACCATGCGGTAAAAGGAATACACATGTGTCTCGTTATTCCCTTCTGGGGCCAATGAGCCATACGTCAGCTAAAAGGAAAATGTGCATATGTTTTAAGTTTGGAGAATGGATGCCCGAGGGGAGAAAGGCAATCAGTCAATCAATCAATCAATCAATCAATCAATTAATCAATCAATCCATCCATCCATCAACTGGTAATAGCATGGCCAAAAAAATCTTGTAAATAAATAAAATAAATAAATAAACATGAAAGTTAAGGATTTTTCCATGTCAGAGACAAAAGCATGATATATTTTCTGTCATTATGTGTGTCCAAATTCCGATACCTTAATACATGATTTAAATTTATGTAAACAAGTACAAACTAAAACGAAATTCTTCCATTCTCCCACAAGTTCAACAAATGTCTCCAGGATGAATAAGGCCATATTATATATGCCTGAAAGATATGCATTACAGATGAGGCTCCTATCACAAAAGAGAGAGAGAGAGATCAGCCATCATTCAACAGCAGATGGTTTAATCCACATGGATTCAAAACCAGACTTTTAAGAGTTGAGTACTGTTGCAGTAACAGTTTACCTTCTTGGGCTCCACGATCACTGCAGCTGGTAACAGCAGCCACGAAATTAAAAGACGACTGCTTCTTGGGAGGAAAGTGATGACAAATCTCAACAGCATCTTAAAAAGCAGAGACATCACCTTGCCGACAAAGGTCCACATAGTCAAAGCTATGGTTTTTCCTATAGTGATGTACGGAAGTGACAGCTAGACCATAAAGAAGGCTGACCCCCAAAGAATGGATGCTTTTGAATTGTGGTGCTGGAGGAGACTCTTGAGAGTCCCCTGGACTGCAAGGAGAACAAACTTATCCATTCTAAAGGAAATCAACCCTGAGTGCTCATTGGAAGGACAGATCCTGAACCTGAGGCTCCAATCCTTTGGCCATCTCATGAGAAGAGAAGACTCCCTGGAAAAGACCCTGATGTTGGGAGAGTGTGAAGAGGAGAAGGGGACGAAAGACAACGAGATGGTTGGACAGTGTTGTCGAAGCAACCAACATGAATTTGACCAAACTCTGGGAGGCAGTGGAAGACAGGAGGGCCTGGCGTGCTCTGGTCCATGTGGTCACGAAGAGTCAGACATGACTAAACAACTAAACAACAAGACTGTTGTATGAACCTCTCAGATTCCTCCAATATTCCTTTGCTTTAAAAAAAAAATCACTCATGTTCTTTCCATTCCAAATATGCAAATCTGGATAAATTCTTATACGGAGAGCTAAAAGAAAAATTCCCCCTATCCCTACCCCTCACACCTCCATGGTTTTATCGTTCCTGCTCTGCCTTAATGCCAGAAGCCATTCTATTGGCGGCTTCCTATGCTGCAGACAAGATCATGCCTAGAATAGCCAGAAAACCATGGATGATATGTGCCCGTGCGTACCTCTTACCTGTGGGAATTTTGTACAGACCTACGAGGTCTGCCATGCAGAACGAGATACCTGAACCCAGTCCTCCAATCACAGCCAGCAAATTTCTTTTAGGGCCACATTCATAGTTCGGAACAAATCTCTCTGATTTGAAAAGCAAGTTCAGCGTGGCATCGTAAGTCATCCTCTTATCGTTGTAGCTGTCATAGATATGGAAACCGAGGGTAACATTGGGCAAGATTGCAGGATTTCCATTGATCTCGTTAACAGCAAATTCCAAGGCCAGGACATGCTGGTAGAACTTTGTCACCACACTGAAAGATGAATGGCACCCACTCATTCATGCGAAGCATGTACTACCATCAGATATAGCAATACATATACTACTATCAGATATATACAATATCATATACTACCATGCATATATTACCATCAGATCACAGATACAACAATACAAAGCATCTTGTCATCTTATTTATTTGTTTCTTTGTTTATTTGCATTAGTAGCTCCTTACACCACAAGTTCAAAATCCAGCTCCTGAGAAGGGTTCTCCTCGAAGGAAAGAAGGGATTGCATGTAAAGAATCTGAGAAACAATCCCACCAACGAGGAGGTCACCAGGCTGATACCAGTCATGTGGAATAGAGCGAGGGTCCTTCACAGTGCATTTTGTAGACCCTGGTACCCATATTATATGGACCAGCAATATATATATTGCTGCCAACATCTTCTTTTCCTATGTAGATACTTCGGCGCCCACCGGCAGCACTGTGGCTGCTATCGGCCGAGTTTAAAGAAGCTCCACCCAACGGCAAAGGGCAAAGTCCGGGGCAAGATGCTTTTCTGCCGAACCACAAAGGTCACCCCCTGCTCATCCAAGCTAAGGTGCACAGACAGGATCAAAAGCCAGGCAAAGTTATCTTGTCTATGAGCCAGGAAATCCCATCGAACGTCTCCCAATTCCTGGTAGTAAAAATACATGAAGAAAGGGAATTTCCAATTTCCTTTAATGCTGCCTCAAATCTCCTGCTGAAGGACAGGAACAGCCAATATGCAGCAACAGGACAACTGCCTATACCAATATGCCTCGTAAAGAAAAGTATAACAGCCGTTAGCATCATGTAAAGCAAGGGTGAGAAAATCAGCTCTGAACGCTTGTCTCAACCCTAAGACCATTTTGAGAATGTTGCACGGGACGGAGAAAGCTGTCAACATTTAAAGGGTGAGAAGCCTGCCCAATTTTTTGCTCTTTCAAATTTATGCTCTTTCAACATAGTGAGTTTTAGTCAGCCTTCCGTATAGACTGTTTTTCTAGCTTGTTCTGGGAAGCAGCTGTACCTTCTCAGGGGAGAGACACTTATTTGAGAAAATTGCAGGGAAAACAATTACCTGAGCAAGTTTTGACCTGCTATCCTGGTGGTGTTTTTCTCTTTCCATTCCCCTCTCACGTTCCCCCTTCTGCTGTTTAATAGGTTGGTGTGGGAGGGGGGGGTCAGGATGACACCGACTTGACAGTTGAACTCTTGGATGAAACCAGGAAGTGGGAAGCGGGCTTAGTTCCAAATGTGGAGGGACGGAGGCCAGTTGCCCTCAATGGGACCTGCACAGGGGGCGATCCTTCCTCAAAATTTATCAGTGTACTCTCCCTTTGGTCCACACCCAGAGTCACTAGCCCCACCATATTGTTTGTGCCTTATTTGCATGCATATGGGCTGGTATCAATAATGGCAAGATCTGTCACGCTCAGACATGGGTCTGGAGTACCTCCGTCAACAGCCCTACTGCAAGGTGATCCTCCATTACGTTTGGAGATTAGCAGTGGGGCTAAATGGAGCTTTTGGCCACAATTTAGATTAGATTAGGCATCCTTCAGTCTCGAGAGACTATAATAACGTGCTCTGTATGGAGGACTTGGAACAGTGTCTAGTGTGGCTGAGAAGGCCAATTCGAGAGTGACCATCCCTTCCACACTGAAGGGATTATCCACAATTTGGTGCCCCCAAAACTGCAGGAAAGCCATTGTATCAATTCATTTTACATTTTGATTTCTCTCCCCCAGATATAAATGGGGGAAAAATTCACTGGGCCACTGGGAGTGAATTTTCATCTTCCACAGGAGAACACGTATAATGAGACTGCTACCTACTCTGGACAATGCAAGATTCTCATACATTCCATCACTCATAGCTAGGGATAGAAAAATGATCTCTTGGTTATCTCAATGATTTCGTTAGAGTTTGGGAGTTCGATTCCGCACTGTGCCTCTTGACAGAGGTTAGACTCAATGATCCATAGGGTCCCTTCCAGCTCTGCAGTTCAAAAACGTTTTTTCTATGATAACCGCCATTTCACCCCTCCCAAGTTGGATAATGGGACAATATTCAACCTATATGAGAATCTTTTTCATTGCCAAGGGTCATGTTGAGTTTCAGTGTAAAGAGAAAGCACACCACAATTCATGCATACGCTTGAAATATGTGCCCAACAGTTTTGTCTCTCTTTTTTTGTTTTCTTCTTCTGCCTGAGATACTAGAACACACTAACACAGCTTCCTCTTTTAAAATTAGAATTTGTACTTTAAAAAAAATCTTTTCTCTTGTTGTAGCATTTGTGAACCCAATTTCTTTTTAGAGCTTATGGAGGTTGTGTGTGTGTGTGTGTGTGTGTTTGTTTGTTCGTTCGTTTTTCTGTTGCTCATAATCACTTCATTTCATTATGGTTCTTTGACGTATCTATTCTGTCATTTGCTTGCCACCCGGAGCTGTGGGCCTTGCCACTAATTGGGTGGGATAAAAATTACTAATTAATTACTAATTAATTTTTTTAAAGAAAAAGATGTGCACAGGTATTCTTGAATCAGAGAGAGAGAGAGAGAAGCCCATGCAGGAGTACAAGGCGTAGAAAAATGTACACATTTTGAAGGGGGGGGATCTTTTAAAACTTCCCCCCAAAATGTTGGTGCGAGAAAGAAGAGAAAAAAATCACAATGGTTGTTGTGGGTTTTTCGGGCTCTTTGGCCCTGTTGTGAAGGTTGTTCTTCCTAACGTTTCGCCAGTCTCTGTGGCCAGCATCTTCAAAGGCCGGCATCTGTCCTGAAGATGCCAGCCACAGAGACTGGCGAAACGTTAGGAAGAACAACCTTCAGAACACGGCCAAAGAGCCCAAAAAACCCACAACAACCATTAGATCCCGGCCGTGAAAGCTTTCGCGAATACAAAAAAAAAAAAATCACAACTCAACAGGGAACAGAAGTGAGGTAGGAATTCCAGCAGCATCCTGAGGAACACAAGGAAAATTAGGGTTTCACATAAGAACATAAGAAGAGCCCTGATGGGAAGGTTTCACATAAGAACATAAAAAGAGCCCTGCTGGATCAGGCCAAGGGCCCATCTAGTCCAGCTTTCTGTACCTCATCGTGGCTGCACCAGATGCCATCCTTGTTCAGATCTCATTTTATGAAATGAACGCCACCTTATATAGATAAGGAACACAGTCTATCTAGTCTGGTCTAATCTCGTCTGTCACTCTCCGCTGTCACGTGTTTCTCATTCAAATGGCTTCCTGCTTACTGCCTTCAAAAAGCGGGTTCTTTCTTGAGGGCTTGAAGAAGTCAAGAACCCAAGGTTTCTGGCTGGCAAACATGATCCGCCACGTAACAATTACAGCCCTTTTAGCTCTCTTCCCTCTCAGTAAGTTCTAGCTCCTGGTTCTTTCTAGCGAAAGAAAGCCCAAAACTCAGGTTGTCTTTGTATATTTGAGGTGCATAGACCCTTCAGAGAAATCTTGGTGATTTCACTCCCTCAGACATTTCCTCAGGGGGCCCACGTCTGTTAAATTGTCTACTATTTTCTTGTCTGCAGGTGCCTACTCTGAGATTAAGCTGGTGCAATCAGGCGGAGGAGCCAAAACCCCTGGAAATGCCTTCCATCTTACCTGCATGGTTTCTGGGTTTTCGGTCACTGATTATGGCGTCAACTGGCTCCATCAGCCGACTAAAAAGGCGTTGCAGTGGATGGGGGTTCACTGGGCAGGTGGAGGCATTGTCTACAACTCTGCTTTAAGGTCACGGATCCTCATCACCCGCGAGCCATCCAAAAATGAAGTATACTTGCAAGTAAACGATGCTTCGGAAGCTGACAGCGGAACCTATTACTGCGCCATGAGATATGGGACAGGCACAGTGGCTCAGCATAACATGTCAGCTGCACAAAAAGCTCCAACCCTTCTGTTACTGTAAAGAAAGGAAATAGTGGTGATAGAGAAATGTTGTCTTCTTTAACCTCTGCTCACAGTTATTCTTATAGAACTGTCTTACCGTTACAGCAAAGCGTTCCAAGGTCAGAAGGCTTCCTCATACCCAGAGCCCTGCTAGGAACTGTTTCGTTTCGTTTTGTTTTTTGTAAATCTGCCATTTAATTACCATTTTGAGCAAGCAGGGGGAAATATAGAACCACTGTAGAGTTTTAGACTAGATCTGAAGCTTGAAAACGTGGCCTGGGAGCATGGTGGAATGCCAGCTATGGGCACTCGTAGAATCACAGACTCATAGAATCACTGAGTAGGAAGGGGCTTCTAAGGCCATCAAGTCCAACCCTCTGTTCAAGGCAGGAATGCAGATCAAAGCAGATCTGACAAAAGGTGGTCCAATTTTCTCTTGAATGCCTCCAGCATTGAAGTGCTCCCTCCCTCCTGAGGTCATGAGTTCCATTGTTGTACTGCTCTAACAGTTATTTGTTTGTTTGTTTGTTTGTTTGTTTGTTTGTCTATATCCTGCCTATCTGGTCTTGCGACCACTCTAGGTGGCTTCCAAACAGATAAAAAACATAAATATAAATATAACAAAATGAAGGAAAAAAATTAGATCAATAAACAGATTCTTCAAGATGGAAAAGAATCGTCATCGTTTAGTCGTTCAGTCGTGTCCAACTCTTCGTGACCCCATGGACCAGAGCACGCCAGGCCCTCCTGTCTTCCACTGCCTCCCAGACTTGGGTCAAATTCATCTTGGTCGCTTCAGTGACCCTGTCCATCCATTTCGTCCTCTGTCGTCTTTTTCTCCTCTTGCCTTCACACTTTCCCAACATCAGGGTCTTTTCCAGGGAGTCTTCTCTTCTCATGAGATGGCCAAAGTATTGGAGCCTCGGCTTCAGGATCTGTCCTTCCAGTGAGCACTCAGGGTTGATTTCCTTCAGAATGGATAGGTTTGTTCTCCTTGCAGTCCAGGGGACTCTCAAGAGTC